TTGTTTCCCAGCCGGCAGAGCAGGGAAATGGCAGGCAGGCAGATGCATTTCCCTTGCAAACTGCTGCTCGGGCCGTGTCCCAAGGCTCTCAGTGTCGCAGCCTGCTCCGGAGCGCCAGGATGAGATAAGGAGAATGGACGTTCCCGCAGCGCAGAGCCCAGGTCCCTGCCTGACCTTGGGCACGTCAGCATCCCTCTGAGGCCATTTCTCCTTGGGGACCAGGATGTCCCTGGATTTTTTCTCCTCCCAGGGGACAGCCCCCATGGTGATCTCTGCTCCGGTACCTGTACAGATGACCCCAGCGTCCTCGTGGTGGCCGCAGTTATGGATGGGGATGCCCCAGCCGAGGCTGTAGCAGGCGGAGAGGAAGGGCTCGCTGCCATCACAGTTGACGTTGTCCAGGAGGATACGTCCCGTGCCGTAGCCGAAATAGGCGTTGCTCTTGTAATCCAGGGCTTGGCCGCAGCCCACCTGCTTGCACACCACGCTGGCATCGCTCAGGCCCCAGTCGTCGTCACAGACGGTGCCCCAGTTCCCGCGGTAGAAGATCTCCACCCGGCCTCGGCAGGTGTCGGTCCCGCTCACCAGACGGATGCTGCCATCACCTGGAGGGTGGCAGCAGGCGGTGAGAAGGACATTGCTTTCCCCAGGAGGTCACCGCACACGCCACGGCACAGCGATGCCACCGAGCCGTGCCCGTGACAGCAAAGAAACCGGGTGAGAGACTGCAGGGAAGGGGCGATGCTTTAGGGCAGCCCGGCTGATGGGAGCCTCGGTGAACCTCTGGGATAAGGTTTGGCCGTGGCCGGCACAACGACGGGGTCCCCGGGGCTCTGCCCCTCGGAGCCGGAGAGTCGGGGTGCTTCACGGAGGGACAGCGGGTGACGGGTGGGGGACGCTGCTCTCTACCAGCCCTCAGCCAGGACGGGCCCCTGCAAGCGACGGCCGAGCAGCTTACTTTCCCCATCCTGTACCGAGGCTGTGAGGGTCCTGCTTGTCGGTCCTTCGCTGCCTTGCGTGGGCGAGAGCTCTGAAAAGAGAAGCGGAGAGACGGCATCCATTGCAGAAGCGGAGAGCCGGCATCCATTGCGGCCCGCCCCGCGGCTCCCCCGGCTCGGGCACCGGCCTGCAGACACGCTGGCAAGCACACACCGCGGAAAGCGAGAGGGTTTGCAGCAAATCAGCCCCGATGGGGAAAGAAAGAGAGGTTTGCAGCTGCACTGCTCTGCCCAGGGTTATCTGCCCGGTTGTAGGTGCAGGGAGGCGGATGGAAGCAGGACCTCGGCTGCTGGCACGGTGGAAAGTTGTGCCCGGCAGCACGGCATGGGGACCCGGACTATATCATAACGCCGCGCTGAGCTGTTGGGAGTCAGGTCCCGCCTATCATGGGATTTGGATTCAAAGTCATGGCATAAATATAGGAAAAAACAGTAATATTTTGATTTTCCTGCTGGTTTTACCTATATTTCTTTTGCTAACACTGTTGTTTCAAGCCACTGTATTGCCCATCTTGTCCCAGCTCCTCGGCTGGGCTGGTGAAATTATCTGGGGATGGTGCAGGGAGCTGGATGGGAGCGGAGCCAAGTGGTCCGATCGCCGGCCACAGGCATGCTGGAGGGCTGCGGGAAGCATCCCGGGAAACCCAGCCCACCAGCACGGCGAAGAGCCGTCTGGCTCCACGCTTTCCTCTGTAACCACAACTGACAGAAAGCTCTTGAAAGCTTCCATGCGGCATGGGTGGGAGCACCTTCCCTAGGGGTCTGGTGCTTGGGTCAAACTCCTGCATCTCTGAGGGCCACCCCAGAGCATCTCCTGATCTCCTTCGCCAACCAAGCTACAAACACCTAAGGGCTCAAGCCGCTCCTCCGCCCTCAGACCCATCTCCCCCACCTCCTTCTTCAGTCCTTCCGCATCTCCTTTCCAGCAGCTCCTTGAATTGGGGTTTTTGCTCAATCCTCGACCTCCTTTCTCTGGTTGCTGCTGGTCCAACCCATCAGCCAGCCCAGCAGCCTCCCCTTTTCCAAGCCCCGCGGCTGCAGGACTCAGGGATTCACCGAGCAGTTGCAGCCGTGGCCGAGCTCTGGGTCTGCACAGCCTCACGTTTACCGGTCGTTGATGCATGGCTGGTGAGCAAACCCTACGTAGCTATGCAGGAGGAACATGTAGGGTATATAGGGGTCGGCACGGAGCTGTTCCACGTGCCAAGTTCAAACACTTTCCACTGCTTTTCTCACCTTTAGGAACATTTCCTACTGAAAAGCTCAGCAATTTAAAAAAAGGCAAGTCAAAAGGGGAAAGAGCAGTTGGGCAGCGGCTGACTCAGAGGCAGGAGCGTGGGTGGGCACGCGCTCTTTCCCCAGGGATCGTGCCGGAGCGGTTGCAAAGTCCCTGAGCTGGGAGTGACGGGGAACACAAAACAGGCTGGTCACCCTATGGAGCACCAGCGTGCTGAGCTGGGAGATGACCTGAATTGAGGAAAGGGGTGGAGGAGGGAGGCAGAGGAGGTTTGGCTGAACCAGGCTCAGAGGAACAGGCTCTGAGATACGACCCTTGGGCTCCCCCAAGGCATCTGCAGACACCAAGGCTTGCAGGACCGCAGACACCCCCCCTGCTCTCCTTGCCCCCGAGGAACCCAGCCTCATTACCGTTGCATACGACAGCCACGTCCTCATAGTGCCTCATGTGATTACCGTTGGTGGATGCCCCAGCCATGGCTCCAGCACTCGCTCAAGGCTGCCTCCCAGCCCTTGCAGTCCACGTTGTCCAGGAAGATGGGTCCGCTCCCTTGGCCGAAGGTCATGGCGGCAGGGAGGGTGATGGCGTGGCCGCAGCCCAGCTGGCGACACACCACGTTGGCATCCACAATGTCCCAGTCGTCATCGCAGACCGTCCCCCAGGAGCCGTTGTAGAGGATCTCCACCCGTCCCTGGCACCGCCTGGGCCCGCTGCGTGACTTTTTTTGGGCCCGTTGGTGAGCCGTATCTCTGGAAGGATGGGCAGAGAGAGGTCCCTCAGCAGGCAACGAGCCTGCCCCAGGGCCAGGAGGTGACAAACACTTGGTGGGTGTCACGGGGAGGGCGTGAACCCTCTCTGCATCAAATCTCTGCTCCGTACAGAAAATGGTGACCCTTTGCTGTAGCCCAAGCCGCTGCTGGCTTGCTGCTGCCCACCTGATGGTGGGGCATGGGCTTCTCTTCATCTGCTGGAAGCAGCGGACATGAAGACTCAACACATCTCGATACATAAATGAGATGCACCATCATGTCGTCATCTTGCCTACTAATGGCCTGGGCAATAACCCAACGGGAGGAGAGGAAAGCGGACACGTGGCATCGCGTGATGACATATGATGGGTGACAAGTGACAAGATGCAATTAGCAAATTCTTTTTAGCCTCAACAAACGCGTCCAGAGCTGGTCCCACGTGGGAGTTGGTGGGATGGAGACGATCTCTCAAGCTGCTGGTGATGGGGAGCAGGCACATAAGCGCCCCTGGCCTGCCACGTCAAGGGAATTATTCACCTGGGCGTGACGAATGGCACAGGGACAGGGACTTAGCAGGAGGTGGCAAAATTCCCCTCTCGGGATAATAAGTGGAATAGGGATAATAAAGAGTCTCTGTTTCCTTTCTGTAAAAGAAGTTTAGCTTTTTGTTGCTGCTTTTTGTTCAAAACCAATATGCTTCCTTTTTGAAATTCTCCAAACCCCATTTTTAACAAAAAAATGCATTTTTCAACTACAAAACTTCCTAGAGAAAAGCAACTTTAAGAGAAGAATCTCACCTGGGAATGGCAACAGCGCGGGTTCGGAGGTGTTGCCTGCAAGGGAGAAGAAAAGGGATCAGATCTCCCCAGCGTCCTCGCAGCGGGCGGAGGAGGGATGCAGCTCAGAGGATGACGGCAGCGGGGGTGCGGGCGGGCATGGCTGGGACCAGCAGGACCCGGCAGCCCCCTGGACCTTTCCCTTTTCTGCAAAGACCTGAGGTTTGTAGGGGAAAAAATAACCACCCTAGCCCAGGGCATGATTTCGTCTGCTTTGCAGGTGGGGAAACTGAGGCAGCAGGATGTGGTGTGAGTGATTTGGCTCTGTGGTGCTTTAAGCACTGGGTTACATGTGTGTCCTGTGTCCCCCTGCCCTAAGTCCTGGTTCATGCAACTCCCCGAGATGAAGGGTGGCCGAGGGGTGCCAAGGGGAGCCGTTCCCAGCTCCCTGAGAGCGAGCTGCTCCCCGGCTGGCACGGGGCGTTGCTGGCTCTCGGGCAGAAGGAGCTTTTCCGTCCCTCTCGCCTTCCTTCCCCTCGTCTCGGGCCAGCAGCTCCTCTGACGGAGCCGGTGGCTGGCAGAAGCAGCCCCCGGTGGGTCGTGCCTTGGGGCGGGTCTCGGGGGCCTTCGTGTCTACC